TTCTAGTCTTTGTACACCATGGCAAGATTTAGAAAATTGTATTATTATATAAACTAGTAACGCTTGTTGAAAGTGGGTTATTTGAACACCTATTTCCGAAAATACATACGTATGTATGTCAGGGAAAGAAAAGGCGTAAATGCCAATTTTACAAAATAATATTTAATAAAACTTTAATGTCTTTTCTCAGTGCCTAAATCTAGCTAATTTACGTAAAAACAGTTATAGAAATTATGAAAAAAATTAATGATGAACCGAAACATTTTTATTTTACACTCGTCGTGCTATTTTTGTATGTTGGCTTTAACGCCTTTTGTTTCCCCGAAGTATCGATATCGTTTGTTCAGATCTTATACCAAGATACTTACGTCATAGCTTGATAAATAGCTTCAATGCCGTATCTCATGGCGAATTCGTCAACGATCTCTTCAGGGTTCTCGTTAAAGTAGACCTTCCAAGCATCATCTCCTCTTGCTGCTGGTAAGGTAACTGCTCCACCGTTTTCTTCGCATAAATAATGAAATAGATTCTCATGAAGGCATGTATACTGTGGACAAAGAAAATCAATGTTATTCGATGTTGTCCCATTATTACATAATCATCTTCATATATAAGGTAGAGGTGTCTCCGCAAGGCACCTTACTAAGCCGAATCGGTTTCTAAACTCATGCATACCTCACTAAATTTCAAATATTTTCAATTACAGCATTTACGTTGTGAACAACGTCCGCGACGGTAGAAGTCATAATCATGTGTGTAAACCCTATAGATAATTATCTATATTTCGCAATCATACCCCAATTGGGAGAATGCTTGCCTGTTTAAAGGACTTTCTAGGTTCTGTTTCGACGCAAGGCTTGCATCTTTAAGTAATTTTTGAAACATTATCAAATTGTCTTGGTTATCTTATTTATTTATGTTTTAGCGGTAATCAATTGGACGTAGTTAAACAAAAAGGATTGAGGAGGAGGACAGGACAAGAAGTTTTGAAGTTTCAAAGTATTTCTCACTGTTATTTTATTTTCAAAACTTACAATGTCATGTAACTCAAGAGATATTTAGTTATGTTTATATGTTGGATTTTTTTTGTTGATCTAAGAGGTTAGGCTTGAGGAACTATTTGGTACATATAACTCATTTTTTGTTAATTTTGTGAATTGGATCCTTTTTGCTTAACTACGTTCAATTACCAGTACGCATTTGTCCGAAGGAGTTAAGTAACCAGCGTGAATTTTCTGTGTGTTGATTTTGAATCTGTATCTAGTAATTTCAAAAACATATCTGCATGCATTAAGGTTCCTCATTACATTTCTATTTTTTAATCTGGAATTGGCTTTCAGTTGTTATTAATATACGTTTAATTTAGATTTAAACTGTTGATCTTCCTATTATATAAATAAAATAATAAAAAAAACAAAAACATATGTAATAACATTGTCTGAAAATGTGTAATTATTAACAGTCGTTACGTAAATAATTCAAAAGCATTTCTATGTACTGTTTTTAGTTCGCTGTAAAAATTAACTCTACGATTCAGTTGACAAAATTGAATACGAGTCCGTACGGAGGCAATATCAAAGTCCATTAACAACTATATATTTCCAATTATCGTACGAGAAAATTTGGGATTCTGCATTTTTGTTTCCATGTGGTTTTGTTTTTGTTCATTTTTTGTTTCAATTTCGAACGTCGAACACGCTCGGGAAATCATGTTGCAGGCCGAAAATAAATTGAATCTAACTTGCGTTCGGTTGGATTCTGACAATGATTAATTCGTGGCAGTTGTTACACAGGGCAAAGGAGATAACACTATATGTAACTAATGTGACCCTTCCTTATCGGGAAGCAACTTTCATGAATACTGACACTGCGATCTATTTAACTATATTTAGATTTATTATCGATTAGATTAGCATGACTAACAGTTATTTCGACAAAGTAAACTCGTCGTGCAACTTCGTTAGTGTTAATAATAATGCATTGAATAGGATAGAACGGCATTTATTACAATGAACAACAACACACATGTTAGATAATGAAAATGGAATGTAGCTTCTTGATTACTTTTGCGTGTAAATAATGAAAGCGACATCAGTTGATCGATATTCCACGTATTTTTCAAATATACTTGTAACGTTGATCGGAATTGTTCAATGTTAGTTCATTTTATGTTGCTTCTTTTTCCCAGCAGAAATAGTATTAAATATGTAATAACATTAAGTAGTAGGTCCTTAATACATACAAACTAATACCACCAACACTTGCCCAGAACGTGCAATGAATGTAAACTAATACCTTATGCCGTGAGTACGTTCCATTAGTGAATATCCGCAGAGAGTCTGCCGCACAGAGATTGGTGCATCCCATCGCATATGTACGTTGTACATGTGTATTTATAATCCCGTGGGCTGAAGGTACGTTAAATGTGTAAATATATCAAACTTGTATATCCCACGCACTACGACACTTTTATACCGTAATCCAAGTCCAAAATTTTCCACATTTTTTTTACCGTAAATGCAGCTCTTTTGTGGAATAAATGGCCTGCTAGCTTTCGTCACAGTCCATCGGTAGCATCATTCAAAGGAAAATTAAAAGAGCAGGGATTTACATATAAAGTAATAATTTGTTCAGATACATTTATTGTGTTCAGTGGCAAAGCATGGGGGGTGCAGAGCGGGCCATGGCCCCGGTCGGCACAGCAAAGGGGCGACGGCGAGCGCGGCCCTTATTTTTTTTACTTAAAATTAGGAGATAAATTCCACTATTGAAAAAATGCTATCACGAGCAACACAAAGGTGGCGACGTCAGATGAACATAAAAACACAATCGAGCCCGGACGAACTACTTTTGTAATCGTGAAATCGACGCTACGTCACTGATTGTGTTTATATGTTACGTGATAGTTACGTATGTAGGTGCATATATCGTTCATATTTATATACAAGTACATCATCATATAAATATGTATTGTAGTAAAGTTATCGGTAACGCCAGATAGTTTATGTCTGAGCTCGCATCTCCTTTTCCTTTCCCATCCCAATCCGTGTTACGCCAACGCCGCATAAACCGCCAGTGACTTAAAAATAAGTGTGTGCGATGTTACAACATTCGAACTAAAAAAACCCGCATCCACATCATCTTAAATTTTTAATTTAATATCCGCATGTCCGCCTGGCACTCAGCTGTGTACGCAAGTTTGTTCATAGTGGCGTTATCGGTGGGTGCATGTGAAGAGGTGAAGCAGTACGAGCCCTTCGACTTTTTGGATGTAAAGGTTGGTGGTAGCACGGCTACCCTTCCTTTTACTTTGCGAGCTCACCTACCCCGCAGGTCTCCACGAGTTATCGAAGGTTTTTGTAATTTTTTCTTATTATATCACCATCAGTTATCGTACAATGATTAGTTACGCAGTTGCACGTTGAGGGTAAAACCGGGAGAGATGCCCCACGTTTTGAAGGGGCCTCTTAATTTAAAAATTATTAGTTTACCATGAATAATTACTATGGATATAACTAATTTAATCTTTTACATTACATTAATACTTAATTTTATTGATCTAGCATTTACTGGTTTTGAAGAAATTGACTTTTTGCAAACCTATTTTTTTGAGGATAGATGCCTGCCTGTATGGATAGACGTCACACAATGAAAATACTAAGAAGGATAGATGCCCTTTAGAATAAAATAGTAAAATTCATAATAAAATGTTTTATTTGTAATCTTTAATATAATGTATATACATATTACATCCTTAGTAATAAATATATACGTATTTAAAGTTACTACCTCCTTCACTTAGTATTTTTGTAGCTATCAAAACATTCTATGCAAAAATGTTCGCTGTTTGAACTGTGAATAATTTGTCTTTTTGGTACTTTTGCTTACTTTTAAAGTACTATCATTTACATGTCTTTTGTACTAAAATAATGTATTTTTTATTTTCTTTTCCTAACTTTCTTGTCTAGTCCTTTGCCCCTAACCTAACCTATACCGCGAAAATCGAGGCGACTATCCTATTCGATATGGATAGATTTCCTTTTATTATATAACTAAGCTATATAAAAAAAAACAGCAAGTATTGACACCTAGGTGCGCAGTTAATGAATCATTGTATAGTTATACTAAAAATAAAACGGACTTTATTATAACTTACAAAGTGATGCGACAGTAAATATTTGCGTCTGAAATCTTGAACCGTTTATCGTGTTTGTCGCGGAGATAAACGACGAACCCCTGAACCACACGAAGCCCTGCAGGAACTTTGATAGGTGGTGTCTATATTCCTTAATTAAACTAATTATTCTTTGTTGCGATTTGGGGAAGTTAGGTTTTTTTAGGGAGTTATTCCCCGAACGATATTCATTGAGCCTTTTCAAGGCAAATGTTAATAATAGACATTATTTAGATGTACATGATTCATCGTCGACCTCATCGTCACTTTCCATCTGGTGAGATGAAGATCAAATGCTGACTTACTTTTGTATAAAAAAAGACGTAATTGCAGCTGGAGTTGGCTGGAAGAGACCACTTCTATTATAGTGTAAACGACTACTTACAAGATTAAATTTTGCATGCTTATGTATAATGGCTGAATAAAAGAACTTTAATTTAATAACTATCATCCTGCGAAAACCTATTCAATGCATGTAAACCTCATTTCATTTTATTTCATTCCATAGAGATAAGCGCACCTCTCTTTACGTCTTTTTAACCGACTTCAAAAAGGAGGAGGTTCTCAATTCGAATATGTTCTTTTTTTTATATGTATGTTATGCGATAACTCCGGTATTTGTGAACCGATTTTCATGATTCTTTTTTTGTTGGAAAGGGGGTACTTTCATAGTAATCTTATTTCATTTTGAAGAAAATCATCGACCTCGAAGGGTGGCTGCTCACGCATGAAGATTCATTTTTATAAATAGCGCCTAACTTTAATTTAGGAGCAATTACTTTAATGGTTGATTTTGCTATTTCTGCCATTCAAGGCGTTTTTCTCTCGGTATACTTTAAGTAGTGTCGTAGTGAGAACCTATTTTTATTATCTCCTGTGTCAAGTCCTGTATAGTGGCGAACTAGGGGATATTTCAATAAAACTTAGCAAATAGCCGTAATTCCACGTACTTTTGAGGTCGGTTTTTTTAGTACTCTGTACTGAGATTATGTAACATGTATTTTTAATACATTGATTTAAACTTTCCCTTTTTTTATACATTATTTATTATCAAATTCGTATATAAAAAACGTTTCGGATGTGTTGCAACGTCCACGGTCTCGAACGCCCTGAATTTGTAAACAAATATGTGTTTGTAATGTTTCATCTTCGTGCAATAAAGAATTCATAATAACTCCTAAAACCTTATCCGATTCAGGTATACTACGTTTCAGATAGTATATCAATTTATATGGTTACTAAATCTATATCAACGTAATCTACATTTATCGTTATAACAATTAAGACGTCTGGATACATGAGCCAGGGTTTAATTTATTTCCATTACACATGAGCCCATATTATTCATGAGAAATGTACATAGAGATATGACG